TATCTTCAATATATCATAGTTTCATAATTTACGTATATGAGGCTATAGACTGAAACGTTAAAAGCAACGATATGCGGATATCCCTTCCATATATAGCAACAGTTTCCGGGTGACGTCATCTTTTTCCGAAGTTCCCCTGCAATAAAGTTACTTCTGCATGGATAATACAATTTCAATACGTCATCAGAAAATTCCTTGAATGACCACGCCCCCTCTATTGTTACACAGCTGACATGTCTCATGTTCGACACGAGGTGGCGATCACGACGCGATAAATTTCCCACAAGGCCACGTTGTGCGCACGCGCAGACTATGAGCTCGCTTCCTGTCGGATTTCTAGGGGAGACCCGAAGACATGAATGTACCATTTCACACCAACATTTCTTCCGTTTGCACATCATATTTTTATCCGGTAGTTGACCAGTCAAACGCCTTAATGGTCCAGCTTCCTCACCGCAAGTTCTTATAGAGATACCTTTATTTTTATACAATTTTATTAGATATATCGTTATGTGCAATGGGTATACTCTTAGCCAAACTATGGAGTCTATTCTCAAACGAAGGTAATCACCATTTTCAATTTATTTTGAATTCTTGATACATTTGAGGTTAATATCGATAATGTCACGTTTGGGGGATTGCTGTTGTGACGTTTTCTTTGGGTGTTTGAACGATGGGTTTGGTAGAGCGCGGACATCTGACTGGAAGACGTTTGACATCTGACTTGAGAGTCGACCGGCAACAAAGAAACAATGAAAAATGGTTTGAAAACAACACGTTGTTTTGGATGACCGTCACTACCTACCCAGTGTGTACATCCTGCGACTGACGTCACTTCGAACGTGAATTAAGAGAATTTTGGTATACTTTCTATTATTATTTTGTTAATATCGACAACACGTCAACTTATTTGTCGTTAAAAGAAAACAACCACGTCACTTCACTTGTTTATCGACGTGACCTTGTACTTTGTAGCAATGACGTAATTTACTCGAATTTAAAACTCTTTTAAAATCTTTTTTGTCAAAACATTGATTACCCTGACATCTTAATGAATTATTACGGCTGACATCTTAATGAATTATTTAAAATTGTAAATGATTCCAAATATTGTTATTAAATTACGCATGTGTTTGTACGGGTTCTTTGTGTTTACTAAAGCGGTATGCTCAAGTTTAAAGTGTTTTCTTTAAACTGTGGGGATACCCACACATGTTTGATGGCGTCCATTTCATACGTGGGTAACAATTTAAATCTGTCAAACTAGGTACAGTGTGCACAGCCGGTGAATTCCATTCTGGCTTCCCTTTTATGTCGGCCATTGGCTGCTTTCACACTGTATTCTACGTCACTGCTCTTGTGAATGGCTGTTCTTATGCTAATGTTGTTTGCTTTGGTTTAAATGCCTACACATTGGTATATATTGTCTTCTATAATATATATAATTTTTGTCTGTCATTTTAGGAAAAATATGTGTTATTCAACATGTTGATAAATTACTAGAACAGTTCTCTGATCTTTGATATACTATTGTGTTGACTTGCAAGTTTAAATGCAAACTCAAATCACATCCAAAGAGATCTCAAAGAAAATACTGCAATTGCCTGTCACTGTATTCACCATTGTTATATATCTATATTAACTCTGGAATTATGTGATAATATTAAATGTAGTATCATTGTTAATTGCAATAATTTTGCTTTTGTTCATAGAGCTTTAAAAAAAAGCTCCATCATGGCCGGCATTTTCAGCAGTCTGTATTTTGCTAGATTTGAATACTGTGTTCAGTATAAATATAAATTTGTTTTACCTCTAAGATGAAGATGTAAAATTAATTTCTCGGTACTTTACATTTTAACAATGTCATTGTCATCATTTTATTTTGACTTGTCGTAACAGCTATCAATTCAATACCTAGTTTAATCATACTGAAATACTAGTATTCAGTTATTGAATATTATTTCTATTTTGCATAACAAATTATTAATATCAAGGCTGAGTGTTTTTTTTGTTAAGACCACACTATCAAGTTTAAGATGTACTAGCAGCAACAGTTACTTAATACTGTCTGGTGATCACAGATTTATTTATATTTACATCAACATCAAAAAATAAGAATGGTGAAATGTGAAAACAAGGATATTTTATCTCTACATGTATGCCTAACACCATCACACATACTATATCAACTGTGTTTAATCTCTCCCACAGAAGACCAGCAATTTATGTGACCTTACTGTGCTAGTGCTCCCTACATCTCATCTGTGAACCCAGATTAGCAAACCTTTTATGAATATTATACATTGGTGATGACCAGTTTTTTGTAGTCTCTTATGCATGTAGCAACTACCAAAGTTTTTGTAATATAAAACAATTATTATGCAAGTTTTGGATTTAATAATTTAAACAGTAATAATTGCTGTTGACTGACCTTGTGTTCTGTTTTTATTTATATTTATATTTACGGTACATGTACTGTGTTTAAAATAAGCAGGTCATTATTGTCTGTAAATTGAAAGATTTGATGTCCTAGGGGAAATTATTAAATATCCACTGCATTCTTGCAACTTGTACGATGTTGATTTTCCAATCCAATCCATGTTTTGTTTAAATCAAATGAACATAATTTCCCCTCACCTAAAGTATTTTTACGAAAAAATGTGCAGATTTATTTTGTCAAATATGACAAGTTGTTCAAAGGGTTACAATAGTAGTGTATGCTAATTATAAATTATGGCAGTTATTTCCGACTTTCAATGATCTATGTTAATTAGATTGAACTGAATACATGTGTATGGTGATTTGCATAAAATGCAAATCTGCAATGGCTATTGCATTGGCTAAAAAATGCAATTATGCATGTGTTTATTTGTACACTGGTACTTCAGTTTAATTATGTATGGTTAACCGATATGTATCAGCAACTATAATAATTGAATACTGAGCTTATTTGTAACAAGTACTTAAACTCAATATTGATTTTTCTCTTGCAGAACATAAAGTAATTATAGTAGGACTAGACAATGCAGGAAAAACAACTATATTATATCAATTGTGAGTATATGTATATATATATATATATATATATAACTGTCATAACAATCATCAAATCAGAGCAGACGCCTGATCTTATTTCCATTTCTACAAAACTCAGTTAACATCAAATCTATCAAATATAAACGTGCAGGATAACATTTTACAATTTGATGAGTTTTATATCTATCCAACACGGATCTTTTCAGCCTTAAGCTTGTTGTTTAAATCCCAATCCTGATTATAAAAGGAGTCTACTTTTAGCAATTAAACCAATCACAAAATTAATGGTTAAAATTGATCCAGAAAACCTTTTTTTGTGTTTTTTCTTGCCGTTAGATCAAAATATTATTTTTCAGCCACACTGAACATTATAGCACTGTTGTCAAATTCCCAATGAGAACTCATGTATGCATGTTGAGTTTGCAATTTTGATTACCTTTTCCCAGTCATTGCAATGCAAGAAAAATGTGTACATACTCTACGTATGTACTCTATTGAGTGTAGATTATGTAATCAAATTTGTTGTAGAATGCATTAGCCAATACTTCTATTGAGGAGTATTATTTTCTGCCCATGGCTCTTCCCTCAGTCATTTACCATGGCTTTCCTCTTGTATGCTCTAGTTTGAAGATTATTTGAAAGTCATGTACACTGTGTCAATAATGGATTGTTAATTCTGATTGCTTTTTACTGTAAAATACTTATATTTTAGCTGGAATTAATATTTGGTAAAAAAAATGTTTGGGTGTTTTGTATGCAATTTATCATAAATAAAGTATTTTACAGTATTTACTCTCAAATGTACCTTTTGTTGCATGATCAATGTCTGGCTTTCACATACACATACAATGAACCATGACAATGTTGACCTTTGACTTGCTAATAATTGTAGGATAACATGTCTCTGCGCTATTGACCTATTTATTTTTCTTCTCAGTTTAATGAGTGAGGTTGTACATACTTCACCGACCATAGGAAGTAATGTGGAAGAAGTCCAATGGAAAAATATTCACTTTTTAATGTGGGACATTGGTGGTCAAGAAACTCTTAGATCAGCCTGGCCTACGTATTATACTAATACTGATGTAAGTTATCTTTGCTCTCAATGGTTACTATATTTGGTCTGTTACAGCAATACGACATACAAATCAAAATGTGTACAAGACCTTGCCAAAATACTGGCATTTTTGCAGATTTATTCAATTTGTCAACAAAGAACACTTCACAGTGGAAAAAGAAAGATTAGCCACACTTTTTCTAAATTTTAATAATATTTATTACCTCAGTATTTTGGATAAGATGGCTTCCACTTTTTGCATCTAAAAAATTGCAAGATTCAAGTTCACCAACTGGATTTATGATTCTTTTTACAATCAGTTCTATTTGAATTTGTCTTTACATGTTGTATATAATTCCATGATATTTTCTCTTTGGTTGACATCAGTAGATTTTTGTGTCAATTCTAACCACAGGTTAGAATTAATGCTAAGAGAAAAAAAAGGGAAATATCATAGGATTATATATTTATCACAAAAGTGAACAGACAGTGTGGAAAGTCCTATTGCTGAAATAGTACAGAGTACAAATATGTCACAGTCCCCTTGTATAATAATACTTTTCCTGTATCATCAAAGATGAAAGGGAAATGTATATTAAAGGGGAAATGTTTGTCATTGTCAATAATTGTTAATGTGTGCAAATAACTTTACTAATTCTATTTCAAACTTGGTCACCTTATTCATCATATAAAGTGAAGTCTTCCCTGAGTATGAACGACAGATGTCCTGTGTGAAAATATCATGCACAAATTGAGAAAGTAGTAGTCAAAATCTGATAAAACATTTTGACTATTTCTACTTGACTGATCACTGGTGATACATTCAAAGGTCACTGATCTCAGTGGAAATGTGCATTGTTGTCTGTGTTCAATGAAGCAAATCATTTGTCTTGTAATAATATCCTTGGTAATGTATCTCCCAAATCCCATGGAAATACTAGACTTCATACACTTCCATGGTTTGTTGCTAGGGATCTCTCTAAGCTTCCTCCGATTGATTTTAATCATGTTTATGTTTCTGGAATGGTACGCGATTTGAAATTCTTGCGGCAAGAAATAATTTATCAATTGTGCCTTGAGTGTGGCTAATTTAGAACGCAATGTGTGTGAGCTTCGTAGCGATATCGCCAATATTAAAGCTAAAGTTGTGTCAGATGACACATGTTCAAGCACTGTACCTAAATCACATAATATGTCATTGTCTGAAGATAATGGATGTGTATCTCACAAAGTTTCGCCTGAAAAAGAGATGGCAGCTGACCCCGGGTATTGCTGATGGTTTGATTAATAATGTATTGATTGGGGAAACGCACCCCAGTATTAAGTCGTATGCAAATTTCGTTATAACACCTCCAACAGGTGAGAATGTTAAGCAAACTCGATTGCGTAGTAAATCACTAAATGCGATTTCTCAACCGACTATCTTTGAGTCGCAACCTAGTGGTCCTACTCGACAGCCAATCAAATTATCTGGTTTACCGGATGAATATGGATTTACCACTGTTACTAGGAGACGTAAAAAGAAACCCCCGGTGTTTACAATTGGTGAAGGTAATTGTAATTTTGATCTACACGTCGTTATTTGATCTCAGCTGCCTGCTAAGATATTTGTTACGAGACTTGCACCGGATACTACAAAATCTTCAATTGTGAAGCATATTAAAAAAACTGTGAATATTGACGCTAAATGTGAGAAACTTAGAAGTAAATTTGATACCTATGCTTCTTTTGTAATTATGATTCCACGTGACACTGTCATCTGTAATGCAGCCCACATCGTTGTCTGTGGGTGTTCTTGTTCTCTAACAATATCATCTTTTAACAGTCGTGGAATTAAATCGTCCGTAAATGACGCGCGATATTTGTGCAATCGTTGTGACATTTGTCTCATTCAGGAGCACTGATTGTGTACCTCTGAACTTGGAATATTATCGCGTATACATCCAGATTTTAATTCGTGTGGGGAGTCTGCTATGGACTAATTTAACAATCTTAGAGTTGGGTGTCTGTTTGGTGGTATCAGTATTTTGTTGAGGAAGAGTCTAGCCTAGTGGTGTCTTATGAAGCGTTTTGATGATCCTCTGGTTCTTGGCATCTCTATTGAGTATAACAATAATACGTCTATTTTAATTATTTGTATTTACATGCCCACAGTGAATCCCATGGCACTACTTCGTGGTTGGATCATTGCGTATCCACAATAAATGCACAAGACTGTAATTTGTCAATAAATATTCTCATGATGTCATCTCTGGTAAAATTGTGACACATCATTGTATTGAAGATTTTTCTAAGTTTTGGAAAGAAGTAAACTCTGATAAAGTAAACAAATTCATTTCTTGTTGTGTAGATCAATCTACTGAAGTGGATATTGCTGATATGTGGAAAGACCATTTCTCTAGTATTCTAAATTCTGTAAAAAATTGCAAATCTCTTGATTCAGTTGAGGCCAGTTTAGGTAATATTATGTTTCACCCATCCATGATTATTCAAGTAGCTGAGGTAAAAGAATGCATTATGTGATTATCGGGACGGAAGACGGTTGGGACTGACAATATTTCTCACGAACACCTAAAATATGCCAGTGGTAGTTTATATGTACTTTTGTCGTTGTGCTTGACAGGTTTGGTTGTTCATGGTTATTTGCCAAATGAACTGTTAGATACTATCATTGTCCCAATTATAAAAGATCGCTCGAGCGATATCACTTCCCGTGACAATTATCGTCCGATTGCTGTTGCTACCTCTATGTCAAAGTTGTTAGAATTAATACTTCTGAAACGGTTAGAGGATTTTATAACTACTGTAAAATCTGTATTAGAAGCTGCGGCTTCTATTAAAATGGTACAATACAACAGAGAGGATATGGCTTTATTAGAGCATCTACACATATAAGAAATAATGAATTTTTGATTCTCAACTTTTCAAAAAAAATGGGTGCGACTTATAATAGGGATGCAGCTTCTAATACAGATTTTACGATACTACTGATTTTCAATTTGGTTTCAAGTCTAACCATTCCACTGACATGTGTGTCTATGCTGTTAAGGAAATTATTGATTTTTATAAATCTCACAATAGTCCTGTGTTTTTATGTTTCATGGATGCCTTTGATCGTGTTAATCACTGGCCCTTTTTTTAAAAAGCTTATTGAACGTCATAATCTATTATTTATTGTAAGACTTTCGATGTACCGTATTACCCCGGGCACGCGCCCCTCCCTGGGCAAGCGCCCACCCCCCTGTTTTCACAAAAGTTGCATGTTGGGAACATCCTCGGTTAAAGGCCCAGGGTGATTTTTAGCCAAGAACGGGGTCAACAATAAAGTTTTATTTGTCAAAACCAAACACGTTTGATTTATTTAAATAGTGTGTTTGTTACGGTAGTTCTCTTTTTGGAGTGTGTGGTGGCCCTGAAAAGGGCAGTTTTGTTGTGTTTTTACGTAAAAACTCATTGGAACTTAACGACGTAAGTTCCACGCAACATGTGGTGCACACGTTCTGCTTTCACGATGAATCCAATATTGCAGTATAGATGGGTGTTAGCGTTAATAAGGCTTTCAAGGATAATCTATGTCGGGAGTGGGTACAGTACAAAAGACAAGCGAACAGCGAAGAACAACCTGAAGCAACCGACAAGACAAGACGTCCTCGATTGGGTTAATCGTTCTTGGGCAGCAGTTTCGACCGATGTCGTCATCAAATCGTTCCTTGTGACAGCGATTGCAAACAACCCTGATGGATCACAAGATGATATGATATCAGAAAAAATAATCCATGAATCAGACACCGACTTACAGAATGAAGCAGTTGGTTTACTGTTTGATGATGATGGCGACGACGATGATGATTTGGACTTCAAGGGATTCAACATCGATGAGGATGGCAACGAGCTATAATTAATGCAATAAACTTATAGACACTACCGTAAACCATTATCATTTGAATTCATGTTTATTTACAAGTCTCCGCTCAATCATTTACATTTTCGATAATCCTTTACTGTTATTTTTGTAATTTTGTCATGTGTGTGGGTGCCTGAATAAATCATGTTAATGAGGTCGACCAGAGTGTATTTTCAGTCTTTTTGTATCGCCATTTGGATATGTTTATGTATTCATAATAGTTTGTAAACATTTCACATCAGTAATAAAAGATTTGTTTCATAACCCTGTCTGCTATTCTTCAGTAATTACGATGTGATGTATCAATATGTGCATGAACAAAATTATGCTAATGAGGTCATCGCCATCTTGGATTACAAGCGGTAGTTTTTCCCGGCCGTTGCGACTTGCACTGATCACGGTTACTAAAAAAGTAACCGTGCATTGATTACAATACTAGTACTTACCATACTTTGTAGCCAATTTCAGTGAGTAATACAACTTAATTCGCTGACATACCGGGGTAAAGCAAGTTTTATTCTTGAAATTCGACCCTGTGTCTTGGTGTTCCCAGTGTGGCATTAAACGAGTTCCCAATGTTTATCTTAATGGCAAGCCACTAAAATTTGTTAGTCAGTATTGTTATTTAGGATATCATTGTACCCAGGACGGAAAAGACAGTATTTGTATGAGAAAACACATGCGTGGATTGTTTGCTCGAGCCAAATTTTTTTTACGTAGATTTAGTAAATGTTCTCTTCCTGTAGTTATTGTTCAAATTTGTATTGTAGTTACCTATGGTCAGATTTTACTGTGGCAGATTTTAATCGTATTTGTGTTGCGTATAACAACGTTCTTTTAATAGTAGTATCACAGAGACTTTCGCCAGACTACATGTTGATGATTTTCAGGTTAAATGTGCTACAGTTTTTCACAACGTATTTTGTTGAGTAAGAACTGTTTTAATCAATTTATTATCTAGTGATACTTTTTTTAAATTACGTATATGGCATATTTGTTTATATTTTTCTTTTCTTACTTTTTATATATGGGCTTGTCCTGAAATAAAAAATAATAAAAGATAATAATAAATTAATAAATACATGTATTCATATTGAAACAAACTATGATAAAGGGAATAATATTATATAACAAAGGGCATGGTCAAATTCAGACAACTCGTTCAATAAAAAAAATGGTTCTACAGTATAGTGACATCAAACTGATGTTGTGTCCTTTATTATGTCACTCTGTGAAGATGCACTTTATGTACATAATGTATAAAACGCATTAATTATACACGAATTGATAAACAAAATTCAGTAAATTAGATTCATGTACAAGTCAAATTAGAATATGAAATGATGAATAAAATAGGAAAATAATGATCACTTACAGTTACTGCCCATCCTTGATCCTAATGATTCTGATGTGATGTGCCTGTAATTTATTTGTATTTGTTTTCATTTCAGTTTGTAATTCTTGTAATTGATAGTACAGATAGAGAAAGACTTCATATAACAAAAGCTGAACTTTATAAAATGTTAGCACACGAGGTGAGTACAGCAAAGGTGGTGTATTGTGCATGGAAGAGAGAGAGAGAGAGAGATGGATGGATGGATGCATGTCTCTATGCTTGTATGTAGGGATTAGTTTGTAAGGATGGATAGATGGATGAACTTGAGACAGATTGAATGGTAAATGAGTAAAACAAATCATGTAGGGTATTGACCATAAACAAATCGACCGGCTTTAAATACCTCTTATCAAGTTATGGACAAATACAGATAGTTTTTCCATCATCTTGTATACAGTCATGAATTGAATATAGATGTATGTACCTACAATGTATGATTATGAGTTAGTGATCATGTGTGGAGATTTTATCCACAAAAAGTCAAGATAGACAAACCAGAACACACCACCGCCTTGTGACATAAATGGTTGGTGATTTTTTTTTTTTTGAGTCAAAAATGAAAAATAGAAATTTGAGTGAATCTATTTAGACTTCAATAGAGCACATTAGTGTCACGCATTGCATAGTAACATTCCTTGTTTGGTTCGTCAAGTTTTGGGGAAAAGTATGATAGTAAAAGTAAAAGAATCTAGGTGGCATCTGATGCCATTTATGTACAAATAAAATTGTTTTTGTTTTACAATTACAATACGTTTACCAAACCTTTTTAAGGGAAAGTATCTTTTATGAATCACCTTTTCACTTCCTGATTGTATCATTTGGAAATCTCCTTGCAATCAGTGTTGTGTCAAAATGGTTTAGAGGGCACACTGCACCATTACCATTAAACCAGGAGTATCTTCTGATCAGGTCACCTGACATATCGTGGAACCTTGTCGTCCTTATTCAAATTACAACTGTTGATGAGCCCTGCATTGCAGATCATGATGATGCCTGTGAACAGTTGATTTTGTGGGTGATGCTTCTCTGTACAACTTTACAATTTAATTTCAAATTAAACTCTTCCATGTTTCGAGGGAGATTGATAACATTGGAATTAACGGATTGTTTCTTTAATAGAAGACGTTTCTCTGTACCTTCATCTTCAATCTCTGGCTTCACTGTTGCTAACTCGGCACATGTTACTTCAGGAACAACTGCATGTCCTGCTTGCTCAACAGCTTGTTGTACTTGAGAGGGGTCAACAGGGCCATCCACGTTTGCATTTATAGTGACAACGATCTGTTCATCTGAACCTTCACCGGATTGAATAATGGTGATCACCTGTGTGTTTTGGGACTCTTGTTCCACAGCATCTTCCCCAGCCATAGCCACTTGCACAGAACCTACATCCTGATTACCTTCTTCTTGAACATGCTGTTCTATTGCTGGAGGTGAATTTTTTGCAGATGCATTGGCTGCAGAGTTTGTCACCTTCTCTTGCTAAGCTGCAGCTGCTGCGTCACCACCAGCTGCAGAACCTCTCCCAACGTTCCAGTAGTGGCATCTGTAGCTCCTCCTTGCTAGGTGCATGTGATGGCACCTTCTGCTTGCTGTTCTGTTAACTCTTTAGAGAAATTCTGTGATAGTTCTCTAAAACACTGATAGATATTACAGATGCTAAACTGTCACTGGCTACAGATGAAGCAGCTGCCTTCTGTGGTAGCTTCTGTCTGAGGTTGGTTGGTCTTCATGATTTACAAATCTTATGACCCACAATATTGATAGAAAGCTCAGGGCACCGTACTTCTAGAAATCCAAAGCGATGGTAATGGTTTTCATGATCAGTTTATTTTGTCACCAATTGTAAGTTTGTGATGTGTGCACAGCTGTTCTGCTTTATTAGAAGTGCATCTCCAATATAAGTGTACATAATTAAACCAAAAATGTGTTATATACTGAATATGCGGATCATGTATATGTACAGGTGTTCAGTTACCTTTAATACAGAAATGACAATGGACACACCATGATGTATTTTAGTAAACTACATGTTGCTCTCCATCACAAATCTCATCAAGCTTATTTAGTAAAGTGAACATGCTTCCACACAGCTCATTGATCTGGCAATCATTCTTTTAAATTCAAGATGTTGCTACTCAAAAAGTCTCGGAAATGGTTCATTCTAGGTTTATCATTATTTTTCTGTCAATATTGTGGAAAATTTTTATATTTATATTTTTACCAACTACAGGATTTAAAACATGCAGCAGTACTTGTGTATGCCAATAAACAAGACATTAAAGGTTCCATGTCTGCCACAGAAATCTCACAACAATTAAACTTAACATCAATAAAAGACCACGGTTGGCACATTCAGGCATGCTGTGCTCTTACTGGTGAGGGGTAAGTTATCGTTTTACTCTCTAATGTGATTTATTGTGTGATAGATTATACCACTATATATGTACAATAGTTTTGGGTTTTAAACCTTAACAAAAAAATACAAACATAAGTAATTTCTGTTGCTGGATATATTCTTGTGCTTTTTGTGAACAAATATATTGCTCATATTTGCGTTATTCGTAGCACACACTTTTGTGAATGACAGTAGTGTCATTATGGTCATATCGAGTCGCGTTTCAATGACTTTATGGCATACAAATAAATATAATTCTCATTTTATCTTCTCTAATATAGAGACACAAAACAAGAGTGCAAAATTGACCCTTTCAATAATCATTATTTTTCCACCAACAAATTTGTATGCTATATTTTGCACATCTTTATGCATTTTATTAATAATATGAACCAAATTGACCTACCCTGTAATTTCCTATTAGCTACAGATTTTGATTAAAATTATGTAAAAAATATGTGGGTTTTATTGAAAGGTGACAAAAGTTGAATTTACTGTTCAGTAATACAAATTTTGTCCATAGCTACTCAATATTTTGTTTCCTCAAAGATTTGTGTTGACATTTTACTTGGCTGTTAAGTCCCGTTTGGTTTATGCATGACATCTTTATATTTACGTTTCTGACTTAATACTCGTGTCCCCTTCTTTTAATCACAATATCCTTTCTTCTTAGGTTGTATCAGGGTTTAGAATGGATCACAGCTCAAATAAAAAGGTGATGACAGGAACCAATTCAATGAACATCCAGCCTTTTATTTATACATCTCATTACATACCTCTCCTCCTTCATAAATGGTATATTCCGCCATGTAATTTATTTTTAAGGAAACTTGACCGTCTATTATACATTAACTTCTAGCGTCTAAATTAGATTATTTAATTTGATCATTTTATTTTTGATCATTATTCTCGTCTTGTAGTCATATTTTTAAATAATTTTAAGTGATGTTACAGTTTATTTTTCATTAATTGCTATTTAAAAAAACACAACAATAATTGTTGCCCAAGGGCAGTATTTTATCTTGTGTGTAGTTTTGATAACTAGGTGATATGCACTGTTTTTTTCCCTCTGTAAAAATCATGTTGTTTAGGTGTCATGCTATGGAAAAATTGAGCAACATGGGGTGCCTTGATCAATCAATAGAGCATTTTAAGGTTTCTGGTGTGTGTAATAGTCTGCCAGACGACGTAAACAACTTGTAGGCTTATTTGAAGCTGGTTCGTGACGTGCTAGATTACTGTCTTGCACATAATAAGAAATAAATGAGCCCAACCAATGCAACATTTTCATGGTTTCATGGCATTTGAAATATATTAATCCACTCACACACATGAACATCTTTCACTGTCAGAAACTATTGTAACTATTGTAACTGCCATTTCCTGGCATGGTTCAATTTTTAAAAATGTATTATTTATTTATAGTGTTTCAGCACATTTTTTCCTAATTTGAAAGAGGGCGTCTACACAGTTTTCGGTGAGCAAGTCTGAAGCAGATTTTATACTCGTTGTCTAGACTTAAACACTACTATATTATATTTAACACTATACTGTAACATGCAGAGTAGATACAGTATGTAATTAAATAACAAAATTGAAAACAAATTCTAGTGAACAGGGTTTTCGAAAGCTTATGTGGAATGATATTTTTACACTAGTCTGCATCTCCCTTGAAAAGATTAGCATTGTCTATAAAAGTATTTGTATATAAATCATTAATTTTTCTGTATTAAATGCACAGACAAATCTACACATGGTTTGGTGTTTTATGTTTAATTTTAGATAACTAAATGTGATTTTGATGGGTTAACAGTTCAGACGTCATTACAGTACATTTTGAAATCAAGAACTGGCAGTGTTGCTTAAGCTTAAGCAGTCTGTTATACGTATGTAATATTCAAAGCTGAAATAATCTAACATGTGTAACCCCTTGGCTGACTATAGCAGATTGTAGTCTGTCTAATCCTTTGCTTGACCTTTCAAGAACTCCATTGGTCTCCTAATACTGTAAGATTCTTGTTTAATCTTGTTATGCAAGGACTCATCCCATTGGTTGCTCAATGTAAGTCAGCCAATCAAAATGCCTGTTGAATGCATGCACGTTTGTAATGTAAGAATCTTTTAAATTGAGTATCTGTATATTTTAACTTTTCATCATATAGAATTGCCATACTTGGTCTCCTGTGCAAGCACAGAAAGAATACCCTCTAATTTGAGCCATTTTGGTTTAAAAACAGATATTACAAACATTTCTTCTCATTTTACTGATCTCAAGATTATTTTTTTAAATTTGTTTTCCCCTTTACCAAAAAAAATGTCCAAGATCCTGAATAGTGTTTCGTTTTCTTCATCGTCATGTCAACTGTTTTAAATATAGTTACATCAGGAGAACAGTAATGTGTTCATGGGAAAGAACAATATGAATTCTCGCCCCCAACGAGATCTCGCCAGGCACTTTGTGTGCAATGTTTATTTATGACTGGAAACCTGACTATTACAAATTGTTTTATGCAAGTAAAGTACAACCACTATTATTCTTTGTTTCTTGCTTGTCAGAGATTACGAAGATGAGTACTTTTATACTTGAATTGTGTAGTTCATGAACATCTTTTTTTTTCTACTATGGGTTTTATCATAGTGAATAAAATGGTAATACAGTCAAGTTTATACTTTGTGTTCTCATCAGTCTTTTCCACCGTTAAGCATCCACTTCACTTTCACTGTTGTGAAATAGTTTAGTATGTGTTCTGTCTGTTAAACCTTTCCAGTAACAGATAATTTTTGTCACCATTCACAAAATTAATACTGCATAATTTTTCTATTTTTCAAACATTTCGATCAAGACCTGTAGGTAATATCAAATTGTGTCTGTTTAGTCAAAATTAGGCCAAAAAAATATTGAAAAATAAAGATGTGCAAAATATTGCAACAAAATCTTTGCGGGAACAAATTATTGCACTTGAAAGGCCAACCTGAAACTGATGATTTCCTTGATTTATTAGATTGAAAAATTCTGCCATGAAAGATTTGATTTTACTATATGGCTGTCAAACTACATCTGACCAAATGACTATGCAAATCACATCCAGGTAGCTCTCATCTGTTGGAGCTGTTAACCAATTAGAGCGTTCCTTACTAGAGTGGTTGGTTACTGATCATACAATGTGATTCAAATTGGGCAGATTATAATTTGATTGATTCTGGATTTATCAAAATATTTCAAGTGAAGCACATCCAAGTATATCTTTCAATAAGAATTGGAGAAATTATTGTTTTCAAAGATTTTTACTTCACCTTTCTTTCCCAGCTTATCAGTGATTATACTTCAGGTTATAAAATTGATTTGTAGAACTCATTGGTCAAGTGTGTTTTGACCCCACTCTCCTTGGTATCCTCTTTACAGGGTACATTGCATAAAGACATTGTTAATGAATCGTATTTCTTTTAAAGTTGTAAAGACTTAGTGATTAACTATCATTGTCTCTAAAATGATTTGACAGAAAATTCATACAAGTAGAGTATCTGATTGGGCTTAAATTGTATTGTTGCTAAGGACACGTTAGTCATTCACGCAACACCCTTTGAGGAATGTGTGGCAGTATAAAGTTAACGTGTTGAGCTTTATCAGTTACTGTGTAGTTCTTCATTCTCACTTGGAATTCATGTTTGCGCAAGGGATGAACCAGTGAAAATACCTTTTTTCGTATATCAAAATTCAGAAAAAAATAAGCTTTATACAAAACAGCTTAAATTAATATTTTACAGTACTGTAAAATACTTTATTTTTGCTGAAAAGGCTTTTTGGGTGTTATGTATGAAATTTATTTTCACTGATTTTTGGCGAGTTGAATTTGAAATGAAAAAAGGTATATTCACTGGATTTTATTTTCACTGAAACAGCCCTTCAGCGAATATTAATTCCAAGCGGAAATGAAGTAATTTACAGTATTCCGTGGCTGCAAGTCCTAATGAACCATTACTATATAACATACGACTGCTTCAAAATATTTTAATCAATTTTTGTGTAATTCTTTATAATAACAATCGTGTTAGTAACTAATTGTATTGCAGTGATGAGGCAGTATACTAGTATCTTGTCTCTCTTTTGAAATAAATCTTTGACATATCTGAATTTGAAACTACTGTAAATGCTTCATTTTTATAACTGACAAATGTTCACTACACTATGGTAGTTTTGTAAATCTGGGATAATTGCAGCTGAGTTGGAGCACATGTACAAGGCAGAATTTGATTGGTTGAAATAAACAGTCAACTGATTGGTCTGAGTGTTGGGGTTGAGTAGCCAATCATGTACAATCTTCTAAGTAGCTTTGCATTGACTTGAAAATTATCACTGTGAACGCACTCGTATAGACCAACTGAAGTGTTGGTGAATTAGCTTTTTGCTTTTTTTTTTTTTCACTCTGTTCAGTGATTCCTCATGAGAAGTGCACAGGAAAATTATCATTGTAAACACTCTCAAATCATTAAATGTACACTGACTAAAGTGCTAATGAATTTGCATTTTTGTTCAGTGATTCCTGATGAGGAAGTGTACAGGACTTGACTGTATATTCTATGTCTCTGACAACAACAAGCTTGTATGCATGTTAGCTCACCATGTATTATCATGTTCATCAGAACATGTACCAGTAACCATAAATAATTTGAATCTTGAATGGTGGTGGTTGCAACCCATGTTCAAATTTCATGTATACAGTGTCAGTTGTTGCTTATGTCGTTATGGGTCCCATATCGAACTGGACACAGCACGGCAACCGCCGCCCTTTATGTGAACCGTAAAAATGTATGATTATTATAATGTAAAATAAACTTTTTCTTGCTTTAAACTCGTATTGTTGCAATTTTTATTGGAACCTGTGGAGTAATATGTGCCATATACCAATTGTTATGTTTCCTGCACAGCACATAAGGTGTGTTTACTTGTGTTGACACTACCAGGGGGGTATTTCCAAGTAAACGTTGAAGTTTGCATGCTTCCTAGGTTAAAGGTTGACTGACATAGATTATGCTCAGATTATGAAGAATTTATTTTACATGCGTTGTACGTTGTTATGACCCCATACCAAACACGGTGCGGTACGACAACCACTGCTTTGGTCTCGTTTCATTTGTATCGTCAGACGACCGCGGATCGAAACGGTATATTAGTACCAACGCAGTGAAGACGTCCCAGCCACTTATTACAGAAAGATTCGTCACTAGAGGGCGCTACATAACCTAAATCGCATACCCTATATATTGTAGCAAATCATATACCCTAGGTCTGGCCTATGAGTGAAGAAAATGGACGAGTCGACGATATATTCTATGTGTCCCTGTTATGGAAAAGATATTGAAAGAATGGAGCATTTTATTTTGAACTGTGTCACTTTTTCCAATCAGAGAGAATATTCGATGAATGAAATCGCACACACCTAGCTTACTGAGAACGAATGAACAGAACACATGGAAGGAAGTTTCCGTAGCGGGCAATGACTTCCGGGGACGCCAGTCAGGATTACAATGTTTAATTTTGTAGAAAAATAGATAACATCTTTTAGTGATTATTCATTCATACGGTAGAGCCAAAGAAGTCATATAATGTAATATTAAGTATCTGTAAAACCAGTTTTCTTCTTACTTTGTGTTTATTTAGTTAGTTATTTATGTTTACTTAGTTGTGCTTAGTTATAATATTTTTTTATTTTATTAGCCTTTGGAGCGGCAAACAAAGAGAAGAACAACCAAATCATACATATTTGAAAAAGGAAAGAAGAAAAATCACATTAAATTCAAACTTTCTTTTCTATACTTATACAATTGAGTAATAAATACTCTAACTTCCTACTTCCTATAATACTTTGTTTTACTGTTTCTAGATGATTTGTTCTTATGTGTAACTGTATTGGTGAGCCTCTAATACACGTAAAGGGAATGATGGTACGTACACTTTCAAAAATTATGTCAAACGCTTAGTACAAATTGTAATACATTTTTTTTAACAAGTTTTAGTTTTTAAACGGGCACTGTACCGTACATATACACGTGATAAATAACTACATGTTTGATCTAGAAACAAGTTATATAAAACCACCGTTGGCCATACCTCATTTATACAGCTCTCCGACTTTTTCAGATGAATAAAACATGATTGCTAACGAATCTCCTGGTTGTATTTCCAACATCGGAACGCACAGCCGGACCCAATCACGCGCATACAAAATTGGCGTCGGGAAATGCTCATTGTTTTATTGTCTACAACCATGTAACTATGGTTTAACTTTAAACTTTTTCTGTATTTTTCAATACAGCTATTTTTAGACAATTCCACAGAACACAATGCTGGCACTTCGTCATTTACGATATGTGCATTTGTTCACGTTGTGTCACAGCCAGCCCACAATTAGAGATATTGCATGATATTCCATCACAGGAACCAATTGTAAAAGCATTCTAATACTGACAAAATGATCATTTACTACAATACAGTCAATATATCCGGGAGTACTGAGTGCGTTCATTCACGAGTAAGCTTCTACCTTCTACACATAATATCAAAGGTAGGTCACATACACAGACTTGACACAGAGGGCGTTATTTTCACAACTATCGCGACTAACTGAAAGCTCGAGGTCAATCACCTCGGTGCTGATCAACTTGGCGCGCCTGCGCAATTTACTGATTGGTGAGGACGGAATTCTGCATTTATGCTGAATATTGTTATTACATTAGAGTTCCCGTAATACAATACACAGGGCAGTCACATGAATGTAAAATAAGGCTGTTATAGAAGTCGTACATTTTATACCGTCTATGTGTCTATTTTCAGTGGGCCATTGTACCCGAACATACGGAATTATTTTCGTGTGAGAATATTTCTTTGTATAATTTTGTTCAAGCCCATTGATTGGGCCGTAGATTTTATTAATATTGTATAATAATAACCATGGATACGGCGGTTCACGTGACCATTCACAGATCATAGTATTGTTTTTATTTGGGAAGCTCACCACTTCAATATAATTTATGCAAAGTAAACATGATAAAGTAATATTCTCACAAATTATGTTTTACATTATGTGGTATACCGGGCTTTCCTATAACAATTATAATTAACTTTAATTGTACAATAATTCCCGCCAACAAATGCGAAGGTGTCTGTTACAGTTCGCCCATTAAATGTAAACAAGAATTATTGCATCTCGTTTTTTTAAATATTATTACAAAAAATAAGAAAACATAAGTGTCAGATGAATAAAAAATGTCGTCTGCGTGGTAAATAATGTTGTTTGCAGAAAAACATAATCCATCGTCTGCAACAGAATAAGAATATCTGCGCGAAAAAACACGCAGTTGTCCAGCAACAAAAATTGCGTAGAAGTAAAAATAACTGTACATATCGTAAAAAAATCTATATATCTTAAGCTATTATTTTCACTATACTCTACATATTAATTATAACTTTAGCATATTATTTACATATCATATACAAGTTTTTGCATGCTTATGTGCAAAAATGAAGGAAGGCTAAAATATTAACAAAAATTACAATATTTTGCAAAACTTTCTGGCAGTCTATGGCTGGAAATTCTCGTCAGTAGATTTCCAACGAATAAATAAATAAAATGTTCTCATATAGTGTGGTGGACACTGTGGATGTATCTCTTCTTCGCTCATGTGAACACTTGGCAGTGCATTTGATCGAAGTCTGTCCAGAACCTCCATTCTAACTCACTGCAAAATACAAGTAGTAAGGCATTGTTAGCATCAATGAACAACAATTACGTATAGAATTAAAAGCGCCCTGACAATCGCAATCGCGTCGTATTCGATGAACCCTCTGCTGTGACGAATACATGCGTGCGATAAACACGGATTTACACGAAATTCGAACGGACGTTGCCCGATAATTCGACTGTTGTACACTTTGCGACATATAGTGATAACCATCGGACCATAGTGGTCTGACAAAAAACACATATACAATGTCTAACAGAATTTCATTTCAGTATTGAATCATTCACACATTTGTCTTGCTCATTGTAGTATACCGGGAAAAAATCATTTGACAGATTTTGTCGGCTCTTCCCTAATAACAAATAACGCCTTTAGTGCTTTCCTAATGTCTGAGTATAGCGTACAATATACTTACTCTGTATTTTCTATAGGCGCCCTCCTACACACCAGTGTGTCCTCACATGGACATATGGTATTGATTGTGTATTCCATACCACCTTCCGGTACGTAACACTTGGAACCAACTTTAAGCTTAGCTTTGCATATGGATTCCCCATGTTGCTTCGCGCAACACATATTGTCTTCGCAGTCTCGGTCGTTCTTGCATCTTGCACCTATAAAAAAAGTTATTAGTTTATTATTAAGTACAGATGAAAAGTGCCTTACTGCAATTCAACGAAATGTTTCAACAGGCAGGGGGGGGGGGGGGTAAGCAGCTTGAATTTGTTCGAAAGCAATCTGAAAATGCGGGGGCAAACTGATAACTAATGTCTATCAACGCCGTCGTTATTTATCGTATTTCGACTGGCTAAGTCATGACAAGGTGTTAAATTTCCAGAGTTGGCGTCCATGTACATGTATAGTGTGAAACATAACAGAACGAGGAAGGTATAAACTTTTGTCTGTCTTTAGCAGTGCAATTTGACTACCCCGGTAAATATCGTGAACCACGGCTCTGGAGAATGTTGGAATTAATGATAACAAAGACGAAAACGTCCTTCAAGCTCAATCTTCAACCAAGCCGTAGCTATTCAGTTTTTAGATTATGCCAGTAGAAACGACGATGAAAATGAACCATCTATCAGGACTGTTTAGAAACAGCTGCAAGGACTTGCCTCCTTAACCACACGCGTGGACAGAAAAGTAAGTCCGATCGAACAAAAGCCAAGTGTTCAGTACTTGTCAAAATATTTTGACACCTCGGCAAAGGGTAATGGGTGGGTTGTTGTAAGAGGACACAATAGCGGATAACAAGGAAGAAATAACATTGCTGTCACAGCGTGAGCTGTGGGACAGGTTCGTTCACTGTCACGGAATTTAGTTGAAAGGATATATTACGATTCAGTCGGGTACAGTAAAGCACCACAAGTCCAACAGATAGGTACTCCCAACTTTTGATTAGTTCAGCCCACCTTATTTACATAAGTAGAGAGTAAGATATACTTACCAAGACTACGCGACTTTAATGCTTTGACGCATTTTCCAAACATGCAATCGAATCCTTTTTGACAATGACCATCTCTTCTGCAGGGCTGTGACTCCAACTTGTGAGAACGACAATTACCATAATGTTTATCACAGTAGCGACCGCGACCACATGTCTTGTCATTCATACATGGCTGAAACGCAGAACAGACAACACAAATTAGATAATCCGCAACGCAATAGTCTATTTTTTAAAATACACTGATGAAATAAAACTGCCCACGCATTTCGCTGATCTTCGTTAATCTAGTTCTATTCTCATGGTTTATCAGTTTACGGGTATTTGCGAATACGATTGCGTGAGAGGGCCGAAAATTGAGTCTGTGAACAGGGAGAATTTGTCAATCAACAAATTAGAGGTGGAATTTAGCTGCAAATTGAGGCTGTCAGTGATTTATTTAATGAGGTGAGCTCGAGGTTAAATTGTTGGGGTCTGGGTTTTGTATCAAATTTACTCGTGTTTATATACATCACTATTAATCCCATTTAGGCGGCTAATGAGATTCGGTCATTGAATAACGGCTTTCATTTTCCTCGTGTCCTATTCAGGTGATTGACTTCCTTGAGTAAACATGTCTGTTATATTTGGGAGAGTCTGTAAGCCCGTGTAATTGGAGTAGACTACACAGTACAGGACTCTCAATATACGATGTGTATCAGCGTTCAACCCCACAACAATCATGCCTTCTCGACGGGAATCGAATTATAGTATTTGTTTTCATTTATTATTTTTTCTTCTTCTAATTATGTAACTTAGCCGCTAGTAATGATCATGGTTAATTGGATGATCAGTGTATGAATTAAGCCCGGAACTGGCTATAATTGTTGCTGACTGCACAAAATTAACTAGAAGACGATGGCGTCAAATTGCAACTCGTCGGAGCGTACAAAGTTAAAATTCCAATTCACAGTTTAACTCCACGGGAATACTATTAGAAACATTTTCTAGTTCACGAGGTTTGACCTGTCTCTGTGCGGGATTCCATGCTCAGTACAGCGTCGACGCAAAAGGATCCTTGTTTTAAGACGTGTACGAGTTGTATACGTTATGTAGGTGGTCTGTCTGCAGTGTTTTGTCGACAGGGGGACGCACTGATAGCAGTCGTACGACTGCTAGTTGTTTAGCTGAACGAGTCATTGACTAATTGGTTCAGTAATTATTTATATATCGCAGGTATATATTTACATTTTTCTTATACTAGTATATTATCAGAAGTGTTGGGTCTTTTTCTATGGGCTAGTCTAAATCTAGTGTATAAGAATAAACATACTGATTATAAATTTGCATATTATATCTTGATGATGAGAAGTTGTATCATACCGCGACTTTCGTATTCGATTTGTTGACTCTGAAATTTATGTTCTGAGACATCGAGGCATTGCTACTATTACATACGCCAGTGGGTTCGGGCATGTCCACGGTTGACATCGAGGCATTGCTACTATTACATACGCCAGTGGGTTCGGGCATGTCCACCGTTGACTTCAAAATGCCATACTCACACGAACTATTGATTGACATGCACTGCCTCGTGCCTAAACAAGGTTACTGTTACCAATTCCTCTTTTCACAATTCGGAGGTACGTCTTTGGAAACTTGTTGGATTATAACTAAAGCTTATTGAAAAGAAGGCTATACAAATAGGATTCACAATAGAATGAGTGTTGGTCTTACTCCCAGGGGTTCTAGTGTACTGCGAATACAATTGAAATGAGGTTGCAAGAATTTAGAGTCTATCTCACCCCATTCACTTGCCTGGGCGACTTTTGATTAAATTAGAAATAATGTACATGTTTTTCATGACTGAGTACCTATCTTCACTGTTGACAGCAAAATCAGGGGTATTCCGTGCTTCGTGGTAACTGACTCAGAGTGCGTAATACAGTAATGCTACATTAACAATTAAAATAGTTTCGCTCTACGACGTCCACTATGCAGCTTAACTAAATGGGAATTGTCAATGTTTTCGACAGACACGACGATTTTTCAAAGTTTAGATTTCATGGTTGTGCACGTGTAAAATATTTCAAAAGTCGGTTTAAAAGGGGAAACAGTCACTAAAATAGAAAGTTTTAAATAAGAACGCAGCCGCGCGATTGAAGTTATTCACACTGAGCGGAGTTCAAAATCTGGGAGGAGCACTGATTAGTGCACACATACACTCTTTAACATTAGCCATCCACACGTAAATAAATATGTGAATAACGCTTGTTGGAGTCGACATCTGATTGTACGCCACTCCAAATCAATAATCATACACGTGTATTTAAAACGAACAAAAAATAATACACAAGACTCACCTCATAGTCTATGGTGCCATTAAAATCAGGATTCAGAACTCGATGTATATTTCTGGGGTGGTTTTTCATGTCTGGATGTTCGTCCGATTGTGGTTGATATGGACTACTCCACATCCAGCTCCATATATAGGCATCGGCTGCTCCAACTACCATCAACATCAAAATGGGTACGATATATCCACATGCCATGATGTTACACGAGAAAGAAATACGAGTTTATAGAAAGGTAAAATGTAAGTCCTCGGGCACAGAGTGGTGGTTCTTACTCGACTGAGCTGTTGAGACTGAGAGCCTTCAGAGTGTTTTGGCTGCAACCCAATACAACAATAGACTTGATGAAGATTGGCAGAAGTGACAGATGAGTGTCAGCTCCTCGACCAATCAGATAACGAGTTAGGCAATAAGATGTCAATCAACTTGATCATTAGTGGACGATTGTTGTGCTATGCAATTAATGGGGCGGGAATCACATTAATTCGATGATTAATCACTCAAAATGTGTGTTCCAATTTCGAGTATATAAAAATAGTCTCACATTGTGTAAAAAGGGGATAGACTAAACAGGGTTGCGTTCAAGGACATTCTTGGTCCTATTCATTTTTGTTATTGAAAGTTTCGACAACACTGCCACGAAAAAGTACACATAATCGCATCTTTTGTTGGAATTCACAGTTTTATTAGTTGCCCTCCTCTTCCAACCCCCCATTCACACCACCAAGTAAAACAAGCAGTCGTACAATGGCTGCTCATTAGAGCGCGAACGACCCTCGTATTACAACATTGTTACCGTACAAAAACAGTTGTATTGACTCCTTGCTAGACGATCACGGCATAGGGTTATTGTACATTCGCTGACTGACTACACGATGTCGACGAGGCTAGTCAAGACGGCTGGTACCTCACAATCAAATCTGCGTCAGACTCGAGGGACAGACATATGTACTGACGACCACTAATTCTATAAGAGACAATGCATAAACTGCTATGACGTCCTACTTATCGCATTTTGTAATTAGGGGAACAATAATTGTACAAATTAGTTACAACATAGCAACATCGCGCCCGGTGCAAAGTGGCTAAACTAAATAAACACAACGATAATTTATAATCGTCGAAATTGTAATAACTTCAATACTATAATTATTATTCTGACTAGAATCATTCGGGTGGAGGTGTTTTGGTTTGCCGTGCGCGTAATGTTATTGTAGCCAGCTACCAATAGGTCAATGTCACGGTTTCAGTGATCACGGACTCATCCGCTCTCACGAACAGAGAATACCATTTCCTCGAGGGAGTGGAGCACGGAAAAACCAAACCGAGAATCAGAGACGTCACTGATAGGGAAAATGCATGAAAGGCCAGTGCGGAAGCCCGCTGAACTAAAAAACACAAATGTTAGGGACCGACTCCGATTTCCAAATCTTGGGACTCAGAGGCATAATAACAGTATTAAAAATGACAGCCTAAATTACCCATGATCATGATGATTCATGATGATGATGACAGTCTGTAGACGAATTCTTGGAAAGTGCTTTATTTCCAGTGTCTCTCACTTTGAATTCAATTGCTTCTGTATATTCAATTTTAACTCATTTAGACACAAAGTAGACATGTATTATAAAGTTATACTTGATGTAAACCATGAATATTGCCATGTTACTCATTGTATGCTGATGACATATTACAACCAGGCAACCAGTATCCAATAATAGGAGTCAGCCATTAACAACTCTAGATGCGATCATGGCAGTAAAAAACTTTGCAAAATATGTGTTGCCTTCACTTAGTTTTGAAGTTATTCATGTAGTGTTTGACATACTAAAATGACATTAAAAACATCGTATGAAATTGGCACAAGTCCTAGTATATATACAAACAGCGCCGTATGCAACCAGAATACGGACACTTGGCACACAGTATAATCTCAAAACGACACCAATGCTCTCATAACGGAGGGTGGTGGACGCGTTCAAGCGGAAATTGTTTGCTTACGTCTTCACCCACCCCATGTTAAGCCTGTGTTATTTACACACACTATTGTTTACTAGATACCCTTTATAAAGCTAGCAAGATTAAGCGGATTAACTGTCAACCTTGTCACATCATGGATTGTCTTATCATGGAACTATAGTTCCATGGTCTTATCAATGAAGCGAGGCCACGACTCTCCCACGGATGCATTAAAAAACAACAACAAACGTGTACACTCGAGGCTTGGGGTGGGGTTATGCATCAGTCAGGCTGCTCCAAGCCCGGAACGTTGTGGAGACAGTACACAAATGACACACAATGACACACCCGGGGATTGAAAAACAAGTACATGTATGGGTGTTACATGGTCGGGGTTCGTTCGCGGAAAAAAAACAAACCCAATCTTGTTTCTAGTATGCAATGTGTTTACAAAACTATTGCCCCTCTATGCCAGGCAAAATTAAAATTACATGTCGGCAACACTCTGTCATGATTATGGAAAAGTACCGGGTTTGGGGTAGTTTACAATTGAGTGGTTTATCGCGTCGATGTATAATTTCTCGGCTAATAAAACCAAAATTGCAAACTATATCAGTTAATAAGTGGAAACATTGTGACAAAAAACGCACTGACTGGGAATGTTATAATGCCCAGCGTAACTAGACGCATATTGTTAAAAACAACCCAGGAAGAAACATCTCATTAGTTTTCTGCTAATATACTTTTTGTCCATGCGAACTCTATCTTACCTGAAAGAAAATTTCGAAGCACTCATTATTTGTCTATTGTCCCGTCCGACCCAGTATATCCTAAATCTGAACGGGAATTGCCAAGTGTCCATATTGCCCGACCCGACTTAGTACATCCTAACTAAACCTGAACGGAGATTGGTCTGTCCTGGTATATATCTAATTAAATCTGAACGGGGATTGGTCTGTCCTAGTATATATCCTAACTAAATCTGAACGGGGATTGGTCTGTCCTAGTAATATCCTAACTAAATCTGAATGA